CTCATGGATCCTCTGAGATGTCTTTGGGCCCCTAAGGGTCTCTGGGCCCCACTTTGAGAACCCCTTCTCCAATGGTGCTATTACCAGTTAAGCAGACTCACTTTTTTTTTCTCTCTCTCTCTCCAAGACAGGACGAGAGGAAGAGAAATTTTGCAAAACATTTCATGTGCCCTTTTCTTGCAGCTGTTTCCATGGGAACCTTAGAGGTAGTACTAGGCCAGTCACAGGTCCTATCTCTGTCCAAGAAGGGACCATGACTCCAGGGGAAATGCCCAGAGAGGGGCTGGGTGGGACATTTTGTGGCTCCCGATGCCCTTGTCTGGCTGGCCCCCAGTCAGTCTTCTGCTCACAGGGCTCAGAGTTCAAGGTCTATCCTTATCCTATGCCCTGTAATCTGCAGGGACCCTCAACTTCTTGGATGCCACATCTTTCTTCTGCAAGTTTCTGACAGTCTCTAACTCTCTATTTGGGTTCTGGGACCACATCTCCACCCAGCTCTGCTCCTTTGCACCCACCCTACCAGGGGAGGAATGAATTGGAGTTTCTCTTGTGGGACATAGCAGCTAAAAAACAGAAGGAAAAGGACAGAGCATTGCACCTACTTTTCATGAATAAATATGGACTTAAGAGAAGTAAGAAAAGAAGAAATTGGATGGAATTATGCAGGAAGTATGCTGGGGGGGAGAGGGCCTAGAATAGAAGCTGGCATAGTCAGTGATGATCAAAACCACATGTAATATGACACTTCATGTTTGTATGTAAAATGGAGTTACGGAGTTAGGTTCTGTACTCAGATCATTGCAAACTGGTTTTTTACAGACATGAATGGCTAGTGAGACACTCAAGGGTCATACAAGACATGGGACAAGTCATAGTTCAGGACCAAACTGGGCATCCCAGACATTGGGCAGCCCTGGACCACCCCCCATCTCAATGCACAAGGTTCCCTGGTCATTGTGACAACCCAAACCAGCCCCTTCCCCTGCCAGGTGTTTGCAAAATACCCCACCCCCTTGGAGGTCAGACTACCCCATTAAGAATCCCTGAAATAGGGGACTTCTGGTCAAGATGGCAGAATAGACAGTTCCCAGTGTCACTCTCTCCCACAAAACAACCAATTTTCAACTATAAAAATGTAACATCAGCCAAGCTGGGGCCGCTGGAGCTCAGGGGAAGAGGAGGAGAGACCTATGGAGTTCATGAAGGTGGGAGAAACCACGATGAGATAAAGAGAAAACTGTTGTGAGCGTTTCAGGTCGTGGCTGCTTTAAGGCTCAAGCTGCTGAGTGCATGGAGCAGGAGCCGGCAGAAGCCGCAGCTGTGCCCTTCAGATGGAGTTACTTGGAGGCAGCAGGGGAGAAGAGGGCCTTGGTGGCCTCCAGGACAGCAAGATCACTAATAGGGTTTCCATGGACCCACGCAGGAGTGAGGAGCCAGAACAACTGAAAAAAGAGAGCCATTCAGAGGCTCGTGAGTCATCGCAAGGGACTAATGCAGGGCCCTTCCCATGGGAAGTGTTTGGAGCATGGGTGGTGGGGGAGACGGGAACACCAGGAGAACACTGGAGGCCCACCGGAAGAACACTGGGACACAGCAAGGACAGCTGACCCTCCCCGCAATCAGCACAGGACCACTCAGAGGAGATTGGTTGGGAATGCAGAATTGCAAAGGGTGCAATTTGATGAAAAAACTCAGGCCCAGATCAGAGTTTCTACACAACACAGATCCACCGGGCCTCTAGAGAGCCAGAAGTACCTACAAGATCAACCATAAATCCTTCCCTAGGGAAATAGCAGCAAAGCAGCAATTTAGCTCAACCACACAGCTCAAGTACTGGTTCCCACAGGAAGTTCCCCGTGTTAGAAGTAAGCAAAGGACTAAAAACTAGTTCTGGACCAGGCACACCACCAACACCTTGCGGCCTGCCTGGGAACCAGAGCCTTGGAGCCAGGGACTGGACCCCACTCCCACATCCAGGAACACTGCGCCAGCACCTCGGCGGAAGAGGATGTCTCTCTCCACAAAGCCCATTCCAGAGTGACAGAAGAAGCATCTGCTCTATGATAATATTGGGGGACCTGATCGCACCTCCCAGCATTGGACAGATCATCTAGGCAACAAATTAACAGAGTAACCATTATTCTTTCAGAAGGAGAGAAGAAATCTAGGGCAATTGGGGGAGAGGGGGAGGGAAGGGGGATGGGGAGAGATTGGACAAGGGGCATAAAGAATAATTATGAATTGTAACAATATATGTGCTAGTAATATTGATTTGATCAACATATCTCAATGTTCAATCCCCAAAATATGTCTAATCAATTTTGATTCAATAAATAAAATAAAATTTAAAAAATAAATAAAGGTAAATTGGTCAGCTAAAAAAAAGAATCCCTGAAATACACTCAGGGAGTGGGACTTTTGCTTGCCCCTTGTATTAGTCACTAGGGCTGCCATAACAAAATGCAGACTGGGTGGTTTAAATAACAGAAATCTATTTTCTCACATTTCCTTTGCTGGGCGTCCAAGATCAAGGTGCCATCAAGGTTGGTTTCTGGTGAGACCTCTCTCCTTTGTTGCAGAAGCCACCTTCTCACTGTGTCCTCACATGGCATTTCCTCTGTGCATGCTCAGACAGCGAGAGAGATCTTTGATGTCTCCTCCTCTTCTTATAAGGCCACCAGTCCTGTTGGATTAGGGTCCCATCCTTTTCACCTCATTCACCTTAATTACCTCCCTAAAGGTTCTGTCTCCACGTTCAGTCACATTGAGGGTTAGGGCTTCAACATATGATTGGGGAGGTGGGGGACACAATTCAGTCTATAGCACCCCCGTACCTGTGGGTCCTCCTACAATCCAGACACTTTCCTGGGGCGTCCCTTCTATAGGCTGCAGTCAGTGTGTCACGCCGTCCTGTCTCATGCTGAGAATGAGACCTTCTGTGAATATACTAACCATTGAATTATACACTTTAAATGGGTGGATTATATGGTATACAAATCTTCAGTTTCACAAGAACCTGACCCACAGTCATCTACACCAGACTTAGAAAAGTGCCAGCTTCCTGTCTCTCTCTCTCTCCCTTTTTTAAAAAATTGTTTTTGGCTGCTGGCTGGTATGGGGATCTGAACCCGTGCTGTTGGTGTTCTGTTTCTCTTTTTCTTGTTGTGTTTTCCAGTCTTGCAGGTTTATAAACAACACTTGGGCTGAACATGTTCGCACACTCCCCCACCCCATGAATTCCTCAGAATAACTTCCCAGGGGCCATGTGTGGCCACCGAATCCTTTAAATGTATCTGTTCCAAAGGCACTCATTATGAAAAACAGAATGAACAATATCTCACTAAAAATTGTTTTATACTGATGACATGTGCAACTGACAACGCTTTGTGTGTTTCAGGATAAATGAATTCCATTCTTAAAATTCACTTCGCCTTTTTTTTATTCATTGAAGATGGCCACTAGAAAATTTAACATTATGCATGCAGTTTGTCTCGGGGGCTGGCATTATATTGCTGTTGAGCAACACTACTCTAGAGTGAAGAGGAATATCCTTTCGGGATCAGGAAGGTGAAAGGAGAAGAAAGAAGCAGAGAAAATGAGAGCAGTGAGTAAGCGGTTTGCCCACGACTGGTTGCCATGGAAACCTTGCAATTAAACTCTCTTCCTATGTAAAAAACCAAAGGTGTTTTGGTTCTCTATTAATTTATTATTTAATAAATGCTCTTCTAACGGTAAGCTCTCAATAAAGAATCCTCACAGCCACCTTTTACGGAGCTGACTAGGGGCCAGCCTCTCTTCTAAGTGCTTCCATAGATGATCCCCTTTAATCCCCATATCAACGCTTTGAGGCAGGGACAATGATCGTCATCATTCCACAGAGGAGCAAACTGAGTCCAGAGAAGTTACAGAACGTTCCCAGAGTTACGGTGGGGGAGTGAGTAGCCATGGGATATACACCTGACGGCTGGGCTGCAGGGCCCGATTACTGCAGAGGGAAGGACGGCTCAGTGAGCCCGCTAAGGTCGGTGGAAGCAAACGCACTTCTAGAGCAGCGATGACTGACATTCCAACATCCCAGTCTGCCCTCCCAGGCAGGGGAAATGCTTTCTTGCAGAATTCATGTCGATCTCACTGGTGATCATACACATGTGAAAACCACATACACAATCTTTTAATTGCGCATGCATAGTTAGGAATACAGGAACATACATGGGAGTGAGGCCTGGTCCCACTGAGCGAGGCCTGTACCCCCAAATGAGGCCCGTATACCCCGGACGGTGCCTGCCGCTCACAGGTGAGTCCTGAGAATCCTTATTGGACACTAAGATCCTGCTCCTACAGTGTGAGCCCAGCGCCCTTTGATTTAGGTCTGTAATACACTGACTTCCACCTGTCCGCTGGGAAGGGGAATGATAACCTTGACTGAAGCCCGTTCCCTTTCGAAGGAGGCCTCTGTCCCCTGAATGAGGTCGGGTCTACTTGAGTGATGTTTGGCCTCCTGTGAATTCGGCCTTGGTTTTCATTGATCACTGAAGGTCGTGATTCCAGCCCCCATGTGCTGCTACCCAACCGGCCCTTTAAGAGCCACTGCTGGGAACTGGTGGACGCAGACCCCAGCTCCAGCCCGCAGTGTTGCTATGGAGACTCGCATAACCGGGGGGTCGGAGGGGAGACAGAGGAGTCCCGTCTGCGCCGGCGCAGACCTGAGCAGCCGAGTCGCAGCAGAACTGCTGGGATTCGAGTACAGGGTGCGCGCTCGGACTCGGCAGGAGCGCCAGGCAAACGGCGGCTTCCACCCCCACGCCCCTCCAGGTGCGCTCAGCGCCACCCCTCTGCACCTGGCCGAGGTGCCAAGTCAGGCCCGTGTCAGGGACAAAGGGAGGGAGCGGCCGGGCCTACCCCGGAGAGCAGACACGTAAGCCCCCTGCGGATCTTCGGATAGCCCTGGGGAGGGGACCTGGGGGAAGGCGGCTGCGTTCACCAGGCCCGCAGGCAGCCGGAGCCGCGAGCCCTGAGTCTTGCCACGGCCACCTGAACCTGAACTCTAAGTGCTGCGGGTGGCCTTGGCAGGGTGGTATTGGCACTGTGCGCTGCAGCCCACCCCTGCCTCGGGCTCCCTCCTGCCCCGAGATCAGCGCCGAGGGAGCGGCGCCATGGCCATGAGCCTTTTGCAGGACTGGTGCAGGGGGCTGGACGTGGACATGCACAGGGCCCTGCTGGTCACTGGCATCCCGGAGGGCTTGGAGCAGGCGGACGTCGAAGCCGTCCTGCAGCGGACCTTCCTGACCCTGGGCACGTTCAGGCTGCGGAACATGAGTGCGGTGAGCAACGAGAAGGCCAAGGCCGCCCTGGTGGAGTTCGTGGAGGACATTAATCATGCCGCCATTCCCAGGGAGATCCCGGGCGAGAACGGGGTCTGGAAGGTTCTGTTTAAGGACCACGCCCAGGACACGAGGATGCTGAGGCAGATGAAACGCCTGCTGCTGGATGAAAGGCCCGTGCAGGCCGCGCGGGCCACGGCCCCCGGGGACACGCCCGCCCATGCCGTTTCAGAGCTGCAGGCCCGGGGGTCAGGGCAGGAGGCCGGGAAGGCCGTCCCCCCTAGTGGGGCGGCCGGGAATGCTAGGAGGGGCCGTCGGGGTCGCAGAACCAGAACCAGAGCCAACAGGTTGACCCCGAAGGGCAAGAAGAGGGGCCGAGGAGGACGGCGGCCCAGCCCCGCTAGGAGATTCCTCCGACGAGGAGCTCACGGGCAGTGACACTTCAGAGACAGAGTCGCAGGAACACGGGGACCCAGAAAGAGAGGGGGCAGATAGTCCTGAGTTTGTGGCCATTGTGGCTTATACGGACCCTTCCGACCCCTCAGCCCAGGAGGAGATGTTGAAAATCGCTGCTGTGATCCAGTCGCTGGGCTGGAGCGACAAGAAAGACACACAGGATGCCCTTGCCGAAGTCCTGTCCGTCATGTCCAAGGACGCTTCGGGGACCTGGGTGAGGGTGGAGGAGGCAGGCCGGGAGGTGGACGCCATGGTCCTGAGGAAGGCCGAAGACGACGGGAACCTTCTGGAATGCATTTCTACCTTGGCCGAGCCAGAGACCCCGTCCGAGGGGAAGCGGGCGCAGCGTGGCCTCCTCCGGGGCTGGGGCGAGGACGACGAGGATGACGGGGGCCTCCTGGAGCTAGTGGCACTCCTGGCTGCCCAGGACATGGCGCAGGAGATGAAGGAGGAGAAAGAAAATGCCTGGGAAGGCGGGAAGTACACGTACGCCAAAGGCAAGCTGGGGGAGGTCCTGGCCCTCCTGGCTGCCCGTGAGAACATGGCCTCGAGCGAGGCGTCGGAAGAGGCTTCGGACCAAGGGTCCGAACAGGAGTCCGAGGACACGGAGAGCGACGAGTCGGAGCCCGAAGACAGGGCGTCCAAGAAGCCCCGGGCCAAGAGGGCGCGCACGGCCCCCAAGGGCCTGGCCCAGGCGGCCACGTCCCCTGCAGCTGCGCCCGCCCCGTTGGGGGCGCGCAAACCCCGCGGGGGCGGCCGAGGCGGTGGCCGGGGCGTCACTCCGGAGAAGAAGGGCGGCGGCCGGGCCTCGGCCAAGGACGAAGCCCCGGGAAACAAGAAGAAGAAGGGGCCCGCGGCCTCCGGGGCCCGTGCCAAGGCTGGCGAGGCCAAGGGTCAGCCACCGGCCGGCTCCGAGTCCGCCCGCGGGAAGAAGGCTCGTCGAGGCAGGAGGCTGCCCCGCAAGTGCCGCTAGGTGACCCCGAAGACGACGCAAGGGCTGCGAACGGGCCTGCGGGGCGCCCCGCTGTGAACCCTTCCCCTCTGTCCCCTCTGTCCCCTCCCTCCCTCCCTCCAGCAGAGGCCACCTTCCTGCTTAAGCGCGCGGCGTGTGTCAGCCGTGCCTGTGCCCCTGTGGCTGTGCTCACCTTTTTCTCCCAGGCCCTCCTTGGCTGATGGCGCGAGCGATCCGGATGTGCAAGGAAAAGAGAGACGGGCAGCGCAGGCCACAGCCCCAGGGCACGAGACGCTGTCTCCGGGCGCCGCCTGGGCGCGGCTTTGGGCGGCCCCCCGGGAGCGCAGCGGCGAGTGTGTCTGTCGGTGGACACCGGCCCCGGGGCAGGCGAGCAGGGCCAGATCTGTCCTGACTCGTGCTGCGGCCAGCGGCTGCAGGCGCCTCTGCTGCTCCCACTCCGATCTGATCCGGCCTGGGGCCGGTGATGGAGGCTCGGCCACCCAGCCCCGCAGTGGGTGTCAGGGTGTAGCTGAACACTGAAGGCCGCAGTCCCCTGCCTAGGGGAGGAGATGATTCCAGAAAGGAGAGCCTGAGAGGCAGAGGGGGCTGGGATGGGGAGGAAGAAGGGAGAGAGGGGAGGGGAGGAGGACCTAGCTCCAGGACAAGACGGTAGAGCAGGGGGAGGACACACCAGCCCTGTTCACCTGAGGCACAGCTGATGCAAATTCACCAGCTCAGGCTGCGGCCACTTGCCGGTGTCCACAGGCTGAATTCGTCACCCAGGCTGCAATGTTTGAAAAAATTCTAATTATTGCCAACATGTTCAATTCGGGACAGTTCATATAAAATCTAGATTTTTGGCTCCTCTGGGCACATTGGGCAGTAGCTCCCCTCTGACAGGCCTGTGGCTCCCCTGGGTCGTTCCACCAGTTGTCCCCACTGTCCCGTGGGCCTGACCATCCCCTCAGCACTGGCCTTATAGTCCCTGACTTAAGACAATGAGGGTCCCTTACAATGAGGGTCCCTTGGTTCAACGCCTTTGTGAATTAAAGGCAAAGGGGACCCCCAAGTGGGCATATGTGAGGGGCGGAGGCTGGTCCAGTTCAGAGTAGAAGCTGCTTGTGGGACTGTCCTTACAGGGGAGGAAACGTCCCTGTAAAGGAAGCCGCAGCCCTGCCCTGGCATTTCCCCCCCAGTAAGCCTGGCTGTTGCTGTCGGAGCACCAGCACCTGCTGTCCCATGTGCAGACGCTTCAGTCATATCTTGTGTCCCTGTTGCGTCATGTGCTTTGGCCCTCCCTGCCGAGCACGGTGTTGTCCCTAAATAGTGATGTCCACTGGACACCCCTTTTACATCCTTTTGTCCCTGGGGTGCTGCGCATGTTTCTTTGACCAAGTTTCCATCCCCAGGAGGTGATGAGCCCATCGTGCCCGCACATGTGGTGGAAGGAACAGGGGCCTGGGTATGTCCTCGCAGCCAGACAGGACTGTCCCAACCTTGAGTTGGGGACACCCAAGTGCAGAAGCAGACTTGGGAGTTGCCACCAGCTGTGGACACCTGTCAGTGCTTGGAGACTGCCTCCCTTTCTGCCTCCTTGGGACAGTGACCAGCTCACTGAGCAGCAGGCCAGGTGGGCTTGGGGCCTCCTCCCTGGGGGTGATTTACATGGGGGCCTGGCCCTGGGCCCAGCAGCCTCTGGAGATGCCTATGGGTGGGTGGGGCCCCCGAGTCACTCCTCCCTGTAGCAGTGCTAGGCTCCTCTCCTTGTGTACTGTGTCACCGCGGATCCTCCAGTAAAGCTGAGTTAACCAACGTGGCCTGCTCTGTCTGTGCTCTGGGCGATGCGGCAGGGGGAGTGTCCGAGGTTAGGCAGCAGATGTCCCACTGTCGTGGCTGGTGTTAGGCCAGAACACCCCGAGGCTGCCCTGTCACTGATTTACACCAGGGGTCCTTTGCTTCTGCAGTGCCTGTGCCCCTTCCTGGCCCTCGGCACACACCCCCCACCCCCAGCACCACTCTCCTTGGCCAGCCCCACTCTCTCAGCCCCTCCCCTTCCAGTCCACAGGCCAGGCCGCAGCCTCAGCTCTGCAGCCTGTGGTCACCTGTGGAGGCCCTGAGTCTCTCCAGAGTTCCCTGTGCCTATAACCCCACCCAGCCCCTGCCCTAGCTTCCACCCAGATATATGAGCGTACTTTAAAAAGTTCATGGAAAGATTTGTGTCATCTTTTAATTCTAGTTTCCCATGAACTTGCAGCAGCTCCATCCGGCCCCCCAGCTCCCACCCTGAGCTGTCTCCTGCTCTTCCCTCTACCCGCTGTTTCTGGCCAGGCCCCAGCCCCACATCATTAACTCACCTGCATTCCGCAAGGGCACCGGCCCTCTGCCCGTCCTGGCCTTGGGGCGCTCCCTCCCACATCCTGGGCCCTCCCCTGCCCTATGGCCCAGCCCCATCCTAGTCTCCCCCCAGCTACCCCTCACCAGGCACCACCCTGCCCAGCTCCTCCCTCCACCCCACCCAGGTCCCAGCTCTGAGGCTCAGCCCCCTCCACCCCCATTCATCCTAGCCTTGGTGCCCACCTGCGCCTCTGCACCCCACACTGTGCCCTGCAACCCTCTATGCCCAGCCCCCAGCTCCCATGCTTGTCCCCAAAGACCCCTCCCCCAGCTCTTGCCTCAAGCCTCTGCCCTGGACCCCAGACTAAGGGTCCTCCACTCCTATTGGTTTTCTGCCTCCCTCCCTGTCTCACTGTCATACATGGCTGCCAGAGGGGTCCTCTTAGAAGTCACATCTGATGTCTGATTGAGTCACTTCCCTCCCCAAACCCTCCAGAGGCTTCTTCCTTTGTCACCACAGGCCAAAGCCAAAGTTCTTATTATGGTCTAGACCTGCTCCGTCCAATAGGGTAACAACAGGCCACATGGGGCAATTTTAATTTAAATGTAATTCAAATTAAATATCCCCAGGATATGTGTATGGTTCTATCCTTCACTTCCTGCAGGTTTTTCTTCAAAAGCCACATTCCCACAGATGGCTTCCCTGACCACCCTGTGAAAGACGTACCCTTCAGCACCTGCTCACTATTTTTCAGAGCTTTGATTGCCCCTGGCACACTTAGTTGATTCTCAGTAGGTCACCAACTGTATTTGGCAGGGGGTTAATAGAGGAAATGGGTGACAAGTGTGTTGCAGTCAGAACGTGCCAGGAGGAAGGTCAAGTTGCCTGAAGACTGGCGATGCAGCAGCCTGTCCGCCCCACCCCCACCTCC